TGTCATAACAGGAGGCATATTTTGTACAAAAAAAATGAACTGGGTCAAGGTTTCAGACACCCAAAGGGCACAAGTCTGTGTGTGTGTGTGTATATACGTAGCTGCTGTATGTCACTGTGTTTGTGTGTGAAAAGGTCACAACCGAACGAAAAGACAACAGAAAATTATTCATATGAATAATTCGCATAAAGGTTGCCTCTGGTAACCAATTAAGAGTTTGAGGAAAATGAATTTGCTTCATTTATGGAAAATGCTTGATCCTCTAAGCTACTAGGACACAATACATTCACAATCACGCATTAACATCTAAACTAATGTGTGTCAGAGATGCTTTACACTTGTATCACACCACTTAATCCATAATCCATCCTGTCTCTTCTGCATGGCACCAACAAACTATCAAATGTTTCCATGTTATTGCGACATTATTTTATAGGCTTTACTGTCACATGGTATACACACAGAAAACATTTATTGTTTTCTTAAGGCTGTTCAATACAGATTTGAGGTGCTTGCAAGAAGAATTTCTACTTCTAATCCATAACTCTTTAAAAGGAAATAGTGTACATTTATTTGACAACTATAGTCACAATTGTGTGAAAGGTTTTACTCTCTGCAGAAGGTCTGCAAATGGCAGAAGGCCTCTACATGCCTTAACCTGAACCTTAATCTAAACCTCATTTAAATCTATAACCAAATAAATTCAACGCATTGCTCACTCAATGCTTACAAAAATAGCATGTTTTTCTGAGGTGATGGAATACTCTGATGTACAACAATATGTGCAGTCAATCAGACGTGGTTCAGGAGGATTTATTGTGTGTGAAAACAAACATACAATTATGACAACAAATCTAGAATAGAACCCAGCACCATGTCCTAAAAAACAATGTTTGTTTTTCCTGGATACAGACCTGTTCTCATTCTCCAGGCGGGCCAGGGTGCATTGGAGCTGCTCCTTGTCCTGGTGCTCCAGGTGGGCCAGCAGCATGTGCTGTCCGCAGGGTGAGTCATGGTCCAGGGCTGGGCTGGAGTGACGCAGGAGGTACTGATCTTCATCCCTGAGTCCCCCACACAGGAGACAGCACACTGAGCCACCAGCACACAGCCACCAGCAGCACGAAGCAGAGCCAAGGACGGCATGGGACAGCAGACAGGCCAAAGCAAAGCAAGGCAAGCAGGGGCGAGGAAATGTATTACAGGACGAGATGCAACGAAGACAAGACTGGACAGAGTGGGACGGGACACTATGACAAAGGCACTGTGCCATGTTCACAGTCCAAATATTACATTTTCTGTAACAAACTTGGCTTACCACAAAATTAAAAACACACTCACAAGGTGGATCTTAATATATTGCCCAAATAATAAACACTTTATTGACAATGGAACAGAAAAATTAATGTGCAAATCTATGATAGTAGACCTACAGCTGTAAAAACCACTAATGCATCTGTGAATGTTTGGCAATTATTTTAATGGAAAGACAGCTGTTTGTCTATTTAATGTAATGCTTTGGGCTATAAAGCAAACTACTTTATTGAGCCAACATTAAAAGCAAGTTATAGGCTTTGTATTCTAAAGCCAAACTCTACATCACAGAGGTATTTATAGGCCAAGTTCAAGCTGACTGTTTATGTCTAGAGATCCACTTTGTTGCAGCACACCTCTTTGACCGTCAGATCTGTTATTTAGGAGCTTAACCCTTAGATGCATTGGTGTGTCAACAATGAACCGGCTGATACCGGCAACATATTTCAGCATTTCATATTACAGGTATTCCTGAAAAATCTGCTATTATGCTCAAATGAACCTACTTCATAGCTAGCTTACATTAGCTTGCCAACATAATACTAGTCGTGGATGAAATGTTACCATAACGAAGTAGCTTAGCTAACTTAGTAGAGAGATAGACTCTAATGTTTGCAAGTTTAATAATGTTATTAAGCACATAAATATTACACACTTACAGTAACAGTGTGGTGTGGAACTCAAACAGTGATTTTGAATAGAACAATTTTTGGCGTCCATTGACCCATGCATCTAAGGGTTACCTGCTGACAATAAGCGGCAACAGTGAACTCAGAACAATGCATACAGCTGGAGGGTGAAGGCTGCACACACAGGCAGCATGGTTAAGAACAGTGAACAGTGTGATGCCAGCCAAACACCAGCTGGAGGCACAGATAGCACAGCAGCATGTAGAAAGCCATGCAGCAGGAAAAACAGAGAGGCACTGAAAGACAGACGGACGGGTTCGCAGAATAAGAACAAGATACAAGGGCACAAGAGCAGAAAACAGCAGCACTACACGTAAGAGGTAAAAGTGTCATGCATACAAACACACTCTCAGGCACAGAATTATAGGCACAGATGAAAATACTGCATGTACATGCACGGGTATACACAACACATTTTTGTGACTAAGCTCCATCCAAGCAACGCTCTAGGTACATGCACATGGCAACAAAGACACTGGGAGCAGGCTTGAGAGGCACAGGTGTCAGTGGTAAAAAGTGTTGCTCTGCTTGAAAAGTAGTGTAGCCTAAAACTAGCTTTTAATGTGGTGTCAATCACAGCCTTATCTCAAAGCACACACACACAGAAAAACACGTCTGAAAAGAAATGATGAGCACAGCCTATCCAAGCACACACACATCAGAAAAACAACGTCTGAAAGAAATCGATGGACACACTTCAACACAACACACAACACAACACACACACAACACGACACACACACACACACACACACACACACACACACAACACACACACAAACACACACACACACAAACACACACAGCACACACACACACACACACACACACACACACACACACACACAACACACACACAACACACACACACACAACACCAGGAGCCCCATAGAGTACTGCAAAACGCTAGCAAGGCCACTTGCCATGCAACCTTGACTTAAAAAAAAAAAGAGAACCATCTAAGAAAAGGAGGAAACAGTCGACAGTCGACATAGATGTCAACAAAATAAGATGTGGACACAAACAAATACATGATCTCAAACAACCCTAACCACTTCGTCCACCTGGCACTTTCTCAACTTTCCACAATGAGGACTCACCTTATTGGCTGCCTCATCCACATCAAACATCCCTCATTCCTCTCACTGCTGTAACCTCGCCACTTCGCCACCACTCAGCCAGCTTATACAAACACACACATGGCTCTCTCTCCTCAGCAGGGCTTTGTGTATCTACCCACAGCCAAAGGCTTCAATCACAGCAGGCATGTGCATGATGAAGGGGGAACCGTGTGAGACCTGCCTGCTGTGGGTCATTTTCATTATGTGGCGGATCATCTATGCAATTAC